CATCATCATCATCACCAGCATCATCCCCACCAACATCATCACCATTTTTACTACTAGACACCAATACCACAAATTTACCTTGAGTACTGCAGTGTGTGGAACTTCAATCTTTACAACAGAATCTTGAAACATTTTGGGAGGATGTGCTGGGATGCTCCATGGTTGAGGAGGTACCCCATTGTTAGGGGTATCTAAGGGTTGGCCTTAGATAAAAAAATTGAAGAAATACATTAATTTGAAGAAACAATCTTAGTCTATTTCATTATACATTAAAATAACAATCTGGGCCCATTTGTATAAGGGTGGATAGCCCTATCCAATGGACAAATCCTATCTAGTGGATAAATTTATTGCAAGATGACAGCATCGACTTACTGTATCAACTGGATAAGGATTTATCCATTGTATAGCACTATCCACCCTTGGTACAGCTGGACCCAATTGGTTCTTTTGATCTTATGCAAGTATATTAGATTCTAACCCCTCCTCTCAAGGGCACTCTGTGGGACTTGTTACATTCAAAAGGAGGATGTTTCACTAGCATGCTTTGCGCGCCGTACTCATTATGCATCTGTCTTTAGCGTTTGTTTGAAAAATTTCCTCTCAACGACGATTTTCCTCGATTATTTCACCTAACAAAAACAGCAGCCGTTTGCTTATTAAATATTTCCTGCATCCATACTGAAAAACAATAGAAAGTCTGGACATGTCTGGGACCTTGTTCGGTATTTTTGTAATTTTTGCCACAGGAAAAATCAAAATATGCCATATCAATGAATGGATAGAAAAAGATAAAAATTGTTTTGACAAGCGAAGTGTTTGTAGGCTTTGAATTATGTGGGAATAAGTCGAAATTAAACGAAGAAAATTTTAAAAAGGAAACACCTACACAAAGTATAGCCTTCATACTATGCTATATCCCTTAAGTCTCCTTAAGTCTCCATGTTTGAGTGAAATACGGCCATTACAATTTCCACTAAAATTCGCCATGTGTTTCGCTTCGTCTTGTCTTATGTCCTTGATATCTGACGTGACCTGCTAGATTACCAAAAATGGTATTTTTGATTATCTTATACAATTCTGATAATCTTGATTTTAAAATTCAAATTTATATTTATAATAACAACGACAATGTAAAATGTTATATATTTTTCATTTAAGTCAATCGAAGGTAGTTTTATTAAGAGGAAAAAGAGTTAAGCTTACTTTTATTCACAGCACGTGTCACAAGCCCGACAAACAATTCAAGAATTTCCTTAATCTAACAAACTATAAACGAATAAATAGTCAAACCACTAGAAACTAATTTTATTCAACTCAAGAAAGCCAAACCTATAGTATTTCACAGTGCAGATAGTGTAATTTTCTTTAAAAACTCAAATTTACAAAAAACTTAAAAGTTCAAATGCAAAGGCAAGACATTCGAAGAAAATCCTCGATCGTAGAAAGTAGATTATATATTTTTCTCAAGGGTAGATAAACAACAACAAACTTAAYACATGGCTTTTGTATATTACCTCGAACAACAGCTGATAGATAAAACTTTATTCAGTAGCGATTTTCTTYCGGAAAATCGAGACTGTYATTGTTCAAAACGATGTAAGTCTTCTTTCTTCAATAAAAATGCCTGGGAAGATGGCTGATAACTGTCACAAATTTAAAACACGTAATACCAGCAAATTCAGTCTAATTGGTCCTTTTTGTGGACAATACAATAGAGAAAGAGAAGATCTGAAGTGGAAAAGGGCTCATGATTTCCCTCTTTAATCTCCATAGTCGAGTTCATATAGTCGATGTTTCTGCATTGACATCAAAGCAAAAATGAGTAGATCACGTGACTTTTCAGTGTGATAATATAGTTGGTCGAGGCGCGCAAAGCATGCTAGTGAAACATCCTCCTTTTTACATTCAATATGTACATCAAACAACAGTCAACTCACAATGTCGATCCTGATCAAAGCAATTATAGATTATATAAATGTTCATACCAGTGTAAGGTTGAAATGCCCAGGCAGTTGATCTACTCTCACCAAAACTGGACAAGGAATACTGAAAAATAAACCACGAGAACAACAAGAATAAGACAAAGAATTTTGGCTTTGCTTATTAATTAAACAACATTTAGCCAGTTCAAGACCACTGTAGCTGTCAATACATTGTTAGTGATTATTCTTCATTATCTTGACTCTTACTTATAGAAAACATTCATGTGAACTTGAAAAAATAAATGTATTATCTGCAGACAATACATTTAACATGTCAAGCTCACTCAAGGCTACAAAAGAGAAAAAATATGATTTGCATTACTTTTAATAACAGAATTAATCTTCTTCTACTATAATTGGCAGCTTTTTATGTCAAGTTTTATTACCAGATTCCACAGCCTTGGTCTTCAAAATTCATATGCTAAAAAACATTGTTATCACTATAAATCACCACTGCAAGTAAACAGTGACACAGCTCAATGGAATCAAACTGAAATCAAGCAAAGACACCTCTGGCAGCCTCTATACATTCCACAGCTCTAAAGGCTATTATATCATTTTCTACGTCATCCAATAAATCATCATCATCATTTCTCACAGTGCCATAAGTCCCATAAGATCTTCATTCAATAATTGCTTGATATTAACTTATATAGACCTCTTCGGCTTGGGGTAATGTTTTCCCAATTCAGACCACATGTCATTCCCTTGAGAATAAGATTCTTTGTTTGAGCTGTATCCATATTCATGTGTCTTCTCATGTGCAACTGAGTGCAAACCTTAAACAAAGAAATGATACTCTAGGGAATGTCATGTGGTTTGAAATGGGAAAACATTATGTCAGAGCCGAAGAGGTCTATTAACATGCATCAAAGTCACTCACATGGTAACCACATGTTGGCTGGATGTCTTTGATGTCCATGTCTCTGGCTGCGCCTTTTCCATAGCAACAGTGATCATCAGCAAATTTAAGCAGAGCATTTCTTGCTTGATCTTCAGTGATTGATGTTGCTCTATAATTAAGGAGAATACAGTAGTGACTCAAATTAATTAACATATGTATACATACAAAATTAATTTTATATACATATAATTTTATATTCATACAACTAGGAGATCATAAAAATCCAGTAGCTTCTCAGGGTAAAACATATATAAAGTCCAGGACCCTTAACTTTGAAATCTCATTTTAGAATAGTAAAACAGTTTTCCTTTACAACAAGTGGCACTTACTGGCTGAAGACTTGTTGTGGAGCATTCTGCTGTGGGGGCGGTTCATAAGGGGGTGGTGGAGGCAGATATGGAGAACCTGGAATAATGAGGAAAAATACTTTAAATACTAAGTCGTAGAGGTTTTTGTAGGTTGGATTCATATTATGAAACTCAAATTGACTCATCAACCTTTAAAAATAATTTTATGTTTTCCTTAGCTTTCGACCGACACGGTCATCCTCAGAGGAACTAAAATACGTTACATTATTAACAAAACCTACGCGATCAAACGTTGTACGTATGCGCGAGGAAAAGAATCGTGCGCACAAACCTGAAAGCACGAGCATTGAAAATCACAAAAGATTTATGTAATTTATGTAATTTATACTGTCCATATTAATTTGTTCCTGTCCTGGCCTAAGTTATTGAACTAGGTTCAGTTACAACATTTTGGAGCTACAATACCCTGACACCCCTTTGGACAATCTACAAGACCAATGAGACTCAATTTACCAGTTATTACGAACAGAAGCAAAATACTAACCATAATTAGTATTTTCATATCCAGGTAAAGTACCAAAAAGACTAGGAGGAGGAGCAGTGGGGGTTGGTGGTGCAGCATTTTCTTTTCCTTCGACATCTTGGTCAGGAATATCAGATCCAGTATAAGATGGAGTGTCTACTTCTCCTACAAATATAATCCAAAAAAGTTTTACAGTTAACATTGAATACAGGGCTGGCCAGAATTGAAACTTGTCTGGTCGAATCTTTGCCTTGCTGGTCATTTTTTACTAGTAACGTGCCAGAAACAAGGTTATGACCAGCAACACACCACATGAATAATGTTGAGCCAGAAACAAGGGATGACCAAGCTAAAGCTAATTTAGCCCTTACAGTATCATTATCCCTGTGAAAATAATAATTATAAATGAAAGTATAAAGTTGATATCTTACCTCCAACAGCCAGATTTGGAGGAGCTTGCCCAGTGGCTCCATATCCTTGCTGCTGTGGAGGTGATCCATATCCTTGCTGAGGGGGAGGCGCTCCGTATCCTTGCTGAGGGGGAGGTGCTCCGTAACCCTGGTGTTGAGGTGGTCCATATCCCTGTTGCGGTGGAGGATAGCCTTTCTGGTCTTGTCCACCATAGCCTTGTTGCTGTGGTGGATACCCCTGTTGCTGAGGAGCATATCCAACTGGTGGCTGATTAACTAGAGTGCAAATGAAAACTGGAATATGTCACTGATAATCAGGCCCAAGAGAGTATATATGTTAACAAACCCTTGAGCTAAGAACATTATGATACCTGGAGGATAGGGTCCTTGTCCTTGTCCTGCGGGTTGATATCCCTGGCCGGAAGGATACCCTTGGCTCATCTAGTACGAGATACACCATGAATTTAGTAATGTACATCATCAAACAAACTGTTACAAATTAGAAATACGAATGAAAGAAAACCTACAGGGTTTGTGCTGAGGTAACCACTTAAAATTCAAGGGCTTTTCAAGGAGTATACAAGGACCCAAAAAAGAATTTTCAAGGAGTATGTTCAGCTAACTATGCCAAGGTTTTACATGGTGGTTGCACATGGCTGACTTTCAGATTTTCCAATCTTTCTGACTAGATCTATTTCAGAACCATGCAAGTAATGATCAAAGCAAAAATCCAAGGAGTTTTCAAGGATTTTCGCTAAAATCATAAGATTCAAGAGCTTTTCAAGTGCCCTTGAAAATGTGAATTAAATTCAAGGAGTTTTCAAGGAGTTTAAGGAGTAGCACGAACCCTGAACCTAGTGATTAAACTAGTTCTAGCTGCTTCAGTATATAAAGCATAAATGATGGATATATAATAGAGTAGATCAATATGCATTAAGTTGAACAAGGTAAAAATAAGTATATGCATACTATGTTTATCTATTACATATGTTCAACTTACTCATATTATATCCATGGTCTATTTCAAAGGACTATATTGCAAAATATTTGCATGTCATGATTGACTAAGCTACTAGAAAAGGTATATTTCTCATAGTAAGGATGATATAATAATTTGATAATAAGGATCATCACACGCTTTAACCACAGTCATGTCTCATATATTATTGAATGACGCAATCAAACTTCTAACCATTTTTGAACAGGGTAAAGCTTGTCATGAATACATAGAGGATATTACATGGGCGTGCAGAGATACGAATTTTATCCTCGAGTGTTGAAAAGATTTTCAACACGAGAAGATAAAATTCCTATCTCCAAGCAGACATGTAATATTCTGTTTATTATATAATTATCAATGAAGTATGTTTTGGCTTTTTCAGGCAATTCTTTCCGTGTATTTTTGAATAGCCATCGCAATGGTGTTATTTTCACACGTGAAAATAACATGTTATTTTCACGTGTGAAGATATCAATTTTTCGAAATAGAGAAAAATAGATATTTCATTGGTAATTAATGAAATAAATAAAATATGATATAATAAAAATGTTTATATACTGCAACACTGACCTTTGCTTTGTATTCCTAGTCTATTTAAAAACTTAAGATCTGTCTCTGGAAATAAAGTGAACATTCAATTCAGGGGGTTACTGTAAATAAAAAGGATGGAAGCAGATAAAGGGGAACAAAAATATCGTCGCTTTCACCTAAGTGGAAACACTTCTAAAGAAAACCGCCACTAATAGGGGGTGGTAAGTTAACTTTTGGTGCCTCAAACTTTGACGTTTGGTGCCTCAAACTTTGATGTTTGGCGCTTCAAACTCTTCATATATTTCTCGATATCGTGGGGTTAGACAGTCCTCCACAGTCAGCAAAACCAAT